GCCTGGCGGCCCGGCACGGCCCCTCGGAGCCGACAGTCAGAGCGCGCCGGCTGCCCAGGCGTTCCCGCCGCGGCCGCGGGCTCCGCTTTCCTCACCGCCTTTGCGCACGGACTGCCCCGTGGCGCTCGGGCTGAGGCCAGTGGCGGTCCTGCAGCTGCTCCTGGGGCTGTGGCGCTTTCCTGGGAAGGGGAAGGCTTCTCGCTCCATTGCACAGAGGGGAACACTGAGCCACCCACAGACAGGAGAGAGGGGTTCGCAGGCACGGGCGGAGGCCCTCTGTCAGCCAGGACGCCTTGCCTCTCTCCAGATGGAGTGGATGTGCGCTGAGCGTCGCGCCTTCCCCAGAGGGCATCTTTCTCATTGGCCACACACGTGCTTCCCGGCCCCGCTGGGGAGTGGACGCTTCTGGGTGGGGAAAGTTCAGTGGTCATCCAGTCTATAGAATGCCAGGGCCTGCGCTGAGCAACCTGCTGGCAGAGGGAAGGAGATGCGCAGGCTGCTACTTGTTCCAGCCCACAGGCAGAAGCTGTTGGGGACTTGGGTGGCTGTTTCTGGGGACCAGGCCCCAGAGCTGCCTGGGGCTAGCTCTGAATCTCTTTTTCTTGCAAAATCTGGTTCGATCAGTTGGGAAGATCCTAGGCTTTATGGTGGTTGAGGAAAGTGGAAGGAAGATTTGGTGTTACAGTGGCAGAGGCTGCTGGGGACTGCACAGGGGATGTCCTGCTCCAACAGCAGCAGTAGCTGCTGCAGCTCCTAGAAAGTGCGGGGTGGCACTGTTAATGAACAGTAAGTGGTCTCCTAATGGGCTTGCTTCTGAGGAGCCCTGGAGGAAAATGAGAAGAGAAACCTGGGTAGAAAGGAACAGAAAAATATTTGGGGGGGTGGAGGGAAGGTTGCAGGTAGGGTGAGAGGGAGAGAGAAGAGTGGATCCACAGGGGGCAAGCACCTGACAAAGAGGAGACAGGGTGGAGAGGGGAAGGGGAGAGGGGTTAGGTTAGGCCATAGGCAACAAGACAAAGATAAGGGTCTGGAGGTGAGACCCTAAGGAAAGAGGAGAAAAATACAGCAGGAAAGAAAAGGGGGCTGTCTGGAAGTCAACAGGGCCAGTCGAGGGCCCAGTCATGCCAGGTCTCTTACGGAGACCTTGTTGAGGGGGAAGATGGAGCAGGATGGGTGGCAGAGAAGGCTGGACAGCTGGGCTGAGATGTCCCAGCATCTCTGAGCCTGCAGCAGAAGTTCCTTCTGAGGGCTGCTTCCGCAGGCACAGGCAGAGGCTGAGGCTGGTGGGTGGGAAGAAGAAGGAAGCAGGATAAAAGCCTGTCAAGCCAGATGCAAGCTAGAGTGTTAACCCTTGGTTGCCTGTCCGCATTCTCCCTGAGGATCCTCTGAGGCAGAACTGGGACCCCAGGGCCATGGTATCCCCCTTGACCATCTTCAAAATAAGCCTCCCACGTAGTGGCTGCGTTCTTCCCCCACTGATGCCTGAAATATTGCCAAAAGCCAGGCAGCCTTTGGGGTTAAGCATTGCCCTCAGCTTGCTGTTTTCAAACATTAATATCTTGAAGTGCCTGTGGTGAGGTTGTTCTCTGGTGCATACCCTTCCCCAGAGTTACTTTCTTCCATACCATTAACACACACAGCCTTAGTGGCAGCCAGCCTGGGGCAGAGACACCTTCTGCATGGTCCAGTTTCCTGAATAGGTCCTGAACCTGAGGTCCGTGAGGGCCTGAGCAGCCGTTCCCTCCCAGGTCTACCTCCCCAATTGCCCAACAGAGCCTGAAGTCACCCCCATGACTGTCATCCCTCTCTTCCACACTCTCCCTCCCTCAGATTAGGCCAGGGCCCTCACAGTCCTTGCGCTGGATGGCACTGGACTATCCTGCCGTGATAAGGGCTGGCTGATGCAGAGCCCGATGGGGCTCCATTAGACAGGTGCCAGCCAGGGGTGGCTCAGAGCTGGCACTGCTGCCTCTGATTAATCAGTTGGGCTCCTTTCAAAACACACACCCAGGGATCCAAGAGGTTTCTGGCATGGGATGAGTTTGGTCCTGTGGTTTTTCCAGTGGCAGAGCCAGACCTGCGTGGAACTAGGTGGGAGGAAGGCCAGGGGAAGTGTCTCTGGTTTGCAGTCTGGAAGCAGGTGCATGAACATGAACTCAAGGGCAGCTCAGAAGGTGCTTGGCTCAGTATTGATGTTGCAGGGATTAAAGAATGGGTATATGCAAGTCTTGCCCTCAAGGAGCTTCCTGTGTAAATAGGATTTAGACTGATAGTCATACCACCTGTGTCATCATTAGAAGTTCAATGTGTAGTTAGATTTGGCCAAAGTTAGTCTGGGAAGGCTTCTTGGGGAAGATGACATTTGGGTTGTTATCAAGGGAAAGCAAGTTTGTTTGGAAATCCTGGGAAAGCTGGATTTGAGGAATGCTGCATCCTGGGGTGAGGGACAGGGCCTGTAGTGTTGTAGGTATGAGGCCTTTGTTTTTCCCACTCTCAGCAGGGCATGGGGGTAACTGGGGAGAGGAGAGGTGAGAAATGATGTCCTCTCTGTCACAGACATGGCTGGGCCCCTGGCTGCTGCTGGTCTGTCTCCTGGTGAGCAGAAGCATTACCCAGGAGGTGTCGAAGTACTGTAGCGACATGATTGGAAATGGACACCTGCAGTTACTGCAGCAGCTGGTGAGTGTGTGGTCATGCCTTACCCCACCTTTTCCCCACTGGGGAAACTGAGGCAGGAGGCAGGAAGCAGGGTCAAAGCAGGGGTCACAGGCAGGGATATAGGGCTATGTAGAACATGGCTCATGGCTCCCACCTAGTTCCATTGATGCTACCCTCACTGACCTTCCCAAGGTTGGGATTTCTGGTCTCTCCAACCCTGGAGTCTCTCTGGCTCCCCTGCAGGCAGTTAACAGGGTAGGCTTCCAACTTTTGCCTGCGTTAATTATTGCTCAGGAACATCAACTGTGGACTCTGAAAAGGCTTCTGAGGCCTGCTGTCCCTCAGTGGGATGCCTCCTCCCAGAAGCAATCCCAGTCTGCCTGCTATATCCAGATGTTGCTTCCAGCTCCTGGACTACCAGAGGTGGCGCCAGCCTGGCACCAAAGCCCCACCCAGATGTGGAGGGGAAGCTCCCTTCAAATTCCCAGCCCTCCTCTCTTGCTTCCCTAGCTCTTGCCCACACCCTGAAGCTGGCATGGCTGCTCATCTGGGCCACGAAGGAGCCTGTGTCTCATTGTAATCAGGTCCATGAGTCGTCAACAATTCCAAACGTGGTCCAGCCAGGCGGAATCAGGTTGCTATCATGGCTAATGTCCTGCTCAGGAAGAATTTGCCATCCCTCTGGCCAGCCAGGCAGGGTGGGGCACCACTGACTAAGGCCAGTTCCAGGGCCTGAGCTTGGGTCCTGTAGGCTGGGCCTCCTGCCACTCTTGCCCCTACACTAGTCCTCCTTCATGTAGCTGCTGTAGCAATATGAAGTAGAACAAGGGCCACAGCATTCTCTGAGGCTTAGAACACAGAACCACCTCTCTGAGTACTAATGAGGGCTATGAGGGCATCTAGCCTCAGCCCCTACAGATCCTGAATCCCCAGAGCTTGTCTAGCCTCTCCTTGAATTCCTGATAGTGAGCACTATCTCCCAAGGAGGATTATATCCCATGTTCTCCTATGGATAGTTCTTCTTCCTTATAACAAACTGGCATGGGAGGTGGAAGGAGGAGACTTCTTGTTTCTTCTACAGCTGTCCCCTGGGCATGTGGAAAGCACAGATCTCCTAGCCTTGGTTCTGTCTTTTCAGGTGTGGTTGAGGGGAGGTGGGTGAAGTTCAAACCCAGATCCACCCACAAACTGAGGTCCCTGTTCTGCCACAAGTTCAGTTGAGCTGTAGGTACCCTGCAACCACTGGCCTGCTCTCTCTTACAGATTGACAGTCAGATGCAGACCTCGTGCCAAATTGCCTTTGAATTTGTAGACAAAGAGCAGTTGGTGAGTGATGATTATTTGCAAGGCCCATGTGCCAGCCTGTATACACCTCCTGGGGGTGTGGTGGTGGTGGGGTGTATGTGGGATCATTAAGGCAGCAGAAACCTTACAGCTGGACAGCAGAAACCTAAAGCTGGATTTGAAAGGATTCCTGGCTCAAGTCTGGGGTGCCAGGGTCCAGTGTTCAAGTCCCCACTGTCTCTTCTCCTGACCTGGTGCATGTCAAGTGCTTACTATGTGCCAGGCACTTTTCTGATTTAGTTTTGACAGTACCACTATGTAATCAGTGCCACTATGTAATATTGTTTATTATCCACAGAGGGGTTAAGGGAGCATAGCTAGAAAGTAGTAGAGGCCTGATTTAAACCCAGGCAGGTTGGCTCTAAGGCCTAGGGCAAACTGATACTTCTTCCAGGTTATGTGCTTTGCTGAAGAATGTCACTGCCGTCCACCAGATAGACTAGCAGCCAGGAGGCAATCCAGCCCTTCCTCCTACCCCCCACCCAACCATCCACCAAGTGCTGCTGGTTCTGCCTCCCAAGAGCTCTGGGTTCTGCTCCCTCCTCCCTGCTTGCCAATCTGATGTGTGCACAATTTCAGGAGCCTCCTACCTGGCCTCCCCGCTTCTAGTGCACCCCTCATCTCGCCACTAGGGGGAGCTTTCTGAGCCCCAAGCTACTGCCTTCACTCTCCCCTCCCTCAAATCTGTCAAGGTCCCCCTCACTCCAGGAGAAAGTCCAGAGTGTCTAGCCTCGTGTTTACAAGCTCCAGTCTCCACAGAAACAACCCCCTTCACCATCCCCCATTCCCTGCTCCTTCCTGCCTCTTAAGCCTTTGCACAAGCTATTCCTAGTGCTGCCCATGCCTTTCCAGTACTCCCGCCATACCCCTTACTCCACATCTATTCATGTTTGTGCTTCATGGAAAACTGCCGTGATGTCCAGAATTTGCACCATCTCTGAGCTTCTGCACACCAGACCCATACACACCTCTATTAGAACTGGAGATCACCTCATGGCCCAAAGAATAACCTCAGTATTTCATTGACTCACTCACTCATTCATGCCATAACAAGCATTTACTAGAAACCTATGGACCAGGTGCTAGAGATGCAGAACTAAAGTAGAGTCTGTCTTTGAGGCAACCACGATCTCTTTAGGGATACAAAACACTAAGGTTATTCTTTAAACCACGGGGTAGTCTTTGGTACCCGTATGTCCTGGAGGATCTGAAGAGGCCATATGGTAAAGGACTTGTGTGAAAGCAAGACACAAAGAAGGGGGGGTGGTGTCTCTAGAGCCCACCTTCCCTATGCACATTCATCCTGGTTAAAGCCTCATATTCCAGAACTCCAAAGATCTCTCTAATCAGAATCCACATTTCCTTTACTCTAGCCCAATTCCCAGTAGTGCTAGATCCCAAAGAAAGAAGGAAAGGCAAGCTGAGAGCAGCATTCTCCTTACTATTGGAGTGGTGTGACCCCTAGCCCTAGGGGAAGGGGTAGGACAGGCTTCAGCCCTCTATCTGTCTGGGATGGGGAGCAGCTAGCACAGAGCCTAGGCTCCCAGACCACATCAACCAGGCCATCAGCTCCAGGTTCCCACTTTTCAGAAGGATCCCGTGTGCTACCTTAAGAAGGCATTTCTGCTGGTGCAAGACAGAATGGAAGACACCATGCACTTCAAAGACAACACGCTCAATGCCAATTACACCATGCAACTGCAGGAACTCTCTTTGAGGCTGAAGAGCTGCTTCACCAAGGATTATGAAGAGCACGACAAGGTAGGAGGGTCCTGGAGCTGGGAGTACCGAGTGAGGGCAGAGGGCGGCTGTGGAGGCACCAGCCCCGTCCACCTGAGCAGAGCACATTCACTCACCTAGCCTCAGGTCATTTCTCACTCATTCGTTTATCATCCCCCAAACTTTACTAAAGACTTACTGTGCAAGAGGCACAGTGCTGGGCCTTGATAATGTAATCAGGAACAAGAAGATATGTGGTTCCCACCCTTGCGGAGCTTACAGTTAAGTGAGGTTGGCAGCTGTTAAACAGACAATGCCGCAAGTAAATATTATTACAAACCGTAAGAACTGTTCATTCACTCAACAAATAGTTATTGAGTGCTTGTTGTAGACCAGGCGGTGTTCTAGACACCAGGAAACAGCTGTGATCAAAACAGACAAAAATCCCCACGTTCGCGGAGTTTACATTCGGGGGTGGTAAGAGTTAACAAAATATATAAGTAAATATATGGGAAGTAGGATGGCGATAACTGCATTGGAGAAGAGTAAACCAGGGAAGGGAGGCCTGAGGAGGTGAGGGAATGACCAAGAGCAAGAACCCCCTGTGGCTATCAGAGAGCAGCAGGGGACTCTAACCTAAATGCGGGTGGAGAGCAAGAGACAAGGAAGGTTCAAAGATGAGGAAAAAAGTTAGAAAGCAATAAGACTGGAAGAGCATTCTGGAACAGGGAATGCTGTGCACAAAGCCCAGAGGTGAACAGGAATGTGCATATTCTGGGACCCAAAGGATGATCAGCCTGGCCAAGGCCTGGGCAGTGAAGGGAGGCAGGAGAGAAGCAAGAGCCAGATCACTTGGGGTCTTAAAGATGCAGGATTTTGTCTTTAGTGTGAGGGAGGTTGTTGTGAGCAGGCAGGTGGCCTAATCTCACTTGCACTGTAAGACTGTCCTGGTTGCTGTGTGGAGAATGGACCGGAGGGAGCAGGAATGGAGGCTGGGAGACCAGCAGGAGGCACAGGTTCAGGCCAGGGCCATGGCAGCTTGGACCAGGGTCAAGCAGCAGAGGTGGAGGCAAGTGGACGGGTTCTGGTGAGCTTGGGGACAGAACCGATGGGACTTGGTACATGCAGGAAATGTGAGGAGCTGAGGGAAGGGAAGAGTCAAGGATGGTTTTTTGCCTTGAGCACCTGGATATTTTATCGATGCTGAAATGGGGATGATCAATGGGCAGGGCAGGTTTGGGGGAAGAGCAGGAGTTCAGTTTGGGGCACTCTGCCCTCGAGATGCTTGTGAGATAGCCAGGTGGAGAGGCTAAGCAGACAGCTGGACATGTAAATCTTGAGCGTGACCAGTGATCTACAGATATAAGAGGCATGGATGTGGGAGTCACCTGTGAAGCCATGGGACTGGCTTGCCCACTGTGAGAGGAGAAACAGGCCCAGAACCCAGCACATGGGGGTCAAGCCGAGGGCAGGGCCCATCAGGGAGCAGCCTGGAAGGTGGAAGGAAAACCAGGAGAGCCCCGCATCACTGAGTTTCAGGAAGGAAAGAGAAGTCGGCTCTATCAGATGGGCTGAGGAGTCAAGCAAGGTAGGGCTGAAAATCATCTGTTGGATTTGGCAGCGTGGACATTGCCGTTGGAGGCAGGGGCCAGATCAGGGTGAACAGAAGGAAAAGAAATGGAGACAACACTGTGGAGGAACTTGGCTGCAAAGGGGGCATGAAAAGAGAGATGCAGCTGGAGGGAGTGTGCAGTCAAAGGAGAAAACACGTTTTAATAAGGGAGGTATTAAACCTGTGGTTTTCCAACATTAAAGTTCCTATGAATCACTTGGGGAACTTGTTTAAAATGCACATTCCCAGGATGCTCCCCTAGACAGTCTGATTCACTGGGTTCAAGGGTGGGCCTGAGAATCTCGGACCCACTTGGGTGGGCACCCATAGAACAGGTGTGAATGCTGAAGGACTGGCTCCAGGAGGGAGGGAGCTGTTGAAGCCAGAAGAGCTAGTTCCCAGCAAAGGCCTCCTTGAGAAGACATCAGGAGGGATTCAGAGCTCCTGGGGAGGGAAGGCACATACTCTGTTGAGACAGGTGGGTGCCAGGGCCTTCTGTCTCATGATCCCTGCCTTCTCTGTGAAATACGAGGTGAGGTGTGAGGGAGACAGGCATATGACCAGAGAGGCAAGAAAGAGCCAGCTCACCTTTCTTACAGTGGCCCTGGGGGAGAGGCTGGCCATGGTTACTGTTCTGACTTTACAGATGAGGAAATGAGCCCAACCTAGACACTGGTATTTGGTCATTGTCACCTAGCTGGTGAGGGATGGAGCTGAGCCAGGTCTTCTCATTCAGACATTTATCTGGTAAACATTTATTAAGGGCCTACTGCACATAGGCCAGGGGGAGACAGTGAAGCCTACGCCGACTTCATAGCCTAGTAAAGCCCGTACTTCTTCCTTGGACAGCTCAGTTTAGGGAAAAACTTGATATTAGGAAGTCATCAACAAAGAGGGCCTAGATGAAGGTGTGGGCATTACATGGCACGGCCTGGTGTGAAAGCAGAGGGGGCCCAGGACAGAGCCCTGAGGAATGCCAGCATTAGAAGTCAGGAGGAGGAGGGGAGCCTGGAAAGGAGCCTGAGAAGGAGCAGCTCAAGAGGTGTGGGGAAACCGAGGAGGGTGGAACTTCTCAGAGCTCCACTGGGTGTGGGGATCCTGAGTCCCATGAGCAGCTCAGCAGACAGGGTTGGGGCATCCTCAGCCCTCCCTCCAAGACACACCAACACCAGCAAATCCTCCCTCCAAGACACACCAACACCAGCAAAGGACCCACATCCCCTGTAGCCTGTCCCACTCCATTCTGCACACCACAGCAAGACGATCCTGCTGAAACTCAGGTCTTGTCATTCCACCGCCCACCTGTCCAACAGCACTTCAGATATTTTCCCTTTGCTCCATGGATAAGATCAAAAGTTCTTGACATGACCAACAAGGCCCTGCAGGGCCTAGCTCTTGGTGACTTCTCTACAGTTACATCTCTCACCATTCTCCTCCTTGATGGCAGCACTGCAGCCACTCCAGCCTTCTTCTAGTCTTTTGACATTTCATGTTCTTTCCTGCTTCGGGACCTTTGCACAGTCTGTTCTTAATACCTGGACAGATCTTTCCAACCCTACCTCCTTTCCTGGTTCACTCTTGTTCATCTTTTAGTTGGTTCCTTGAAACTCTCCCTGAATCCTCATTTAATTCCCCTTGTTATATACACCATCAGATTGCTCAGTACTTCACAGGACTCACTGCCCTTGTAACAATGCATTTAGTGCCATGCTCCCCCAGCTTGGCCAGGAACCACCTCTGTCTTATTCATTGCATAATTCCCAGGTAATTACCATATGCCTGGCACATGAATATGTGTTGAATGGATCTGTGAATAAATGACATATCTCACAACCTTAGGACTGATTCTGCTGCAAACCAGGGGAGGAGGAGGGAGGAAACAAATGGGAAGAAGACAGCTGTGAGAAAGGCTAAGGGAATTTGACAAATCAGATAGAGACATGGAGCCAATGGTCACGCTCACCAAAGGGGGCCCTGCTCTCCTTCCAGGCCTGTGTTCGAACTTTCTATGAGACACCCCTCCAGTTGCTGGAGAAGATCAAGAATGTCTTTAATGAAACAAAGAATCTCCTTACAAAGGACTGGAATATTTTCAGCAAGAACTGCAACAACAGCTTTGCTAAATGTTCCAGCCAAGGTAAGCACCGAAGGGGCCAGCGAGTGGGTGGTGGGGGGAGGGTGAGATATGGGGCTGGGGGAACCCCCAGGGTGGCAGCGTGGCTGCTACATGTGTTTCTGTGTGTGTAGTTGTGCTTGTTTTGTGTACATATGTGGCTTCGTGTATTTCTGGTCCCAGGCACATGTCTTTTCTGACATGTGTGTGCATGCACACCTACATATGTCTGCATGTGGAGACATCAAGAAGGATCATGCTGGTGCCTGTGAGATTAGGGAGTGGAAAAGGGGCCCCTCTCAGAGATCCTTGTAGATATGGAGGACTCCATATCCACGGGCTCTGCAGGCTGGCTGAATGTACGGGGGTTTTGTGGAAAGAGCAGACACCCCATCTGGGAGTCAGGGCCTTTGCTCCAGGAGCCCTGCTACGAATCACCAAGATACCCTGGCTCCAGAAGTCCCCGGGATGCTTTGGGTGTCCCTTCCAGGGACAAGGCCGGATTGGAAGTCTAAGCATCATTCAAACTCTCCCAATGCTGGCTCAGCTGCGTCCATGTGCACCCTGCGTGTCCTCGTCTCTGCATCCTGTGCCACGTGTGCCCTCCTACATCCAACCTTGCTCCCCAAGGCAGGGGCTGAGGCCCCACAACCAGCCAATGGCGAAGTCCAGTCTCGTAGCTTCAGTGCTAAGGCCTCAAGTCTTGGCCACATTACAGCCCCAGCCTGTTCCCGCCTGTGCCCATTGCTGTGTGGCTCCGGCTGTGCATGAAAACAGTGTCTTTGGGGCTGGCGGATGTCTTGTGTTTGTATGGATGCCACTGCTCAATCCTTGAGCCTGGATGCTCCCTCCTAGCTTGGCCTCTGGTCAGCTAGACCCCCCATATGGCTGTCCTCTAGTCTTCCCTCACCAACCCCCAGTCTGTGCATCTAAACCCTGCTCTTCACTCTCTGCCCTTGAGATCTTGCAAATTGCATGTTCTCTGCCTGAGCCCTGTGTCATAAGTATCCACTCTAGTCCTGTCCTCCCCTCAGCCCCAGGGCTGAGTTAGGAGATGAGGGGACCCCCAGACCCATATCTTCCCCCCAGTCCCCTCTGGGAAAGCTGTGCTGGAGGCTGTTGACTCTATCTACCCCCTGTCTTTCTCTCTCCCTCTTTCTGTGGTTCTTTCAGATGTGGTGACCAAGCCTGATTGCAACTGCCTGTACCCCAAAGCAGCCCCTAGCAGTGACCTGGCCTCTGTCTCCTCTCACCAGCCCCTCACCCCCTCCATGGCCCCTATGGCCAACTTGACCTGGGCTGACTCTGAAGGGACAGAGGGCAGCTCCCTCTTGCCCCATGAGCAGCCCCTTCACACAGTGGACCCAGGCAGTGCCAAGCAGCGACCACCCAGGAGCACGTGCCAGAGCCTTGAGTCTCCAGAGACTGCGAATATCGAGGACAGCCCCACTGGCAGTTCATCACATCCTCGCCCCTCTGGCGGGGCACCCATCCCTGGATTGGAGGATGTTCTTGATTCTGCACTGGGCATTAACTGGGCCCTAGAAGAGGCCTCTGGAGAGCCTAGTGAGGGTCTGGTACTGCAAGGGGCAGAGCTTTCTCCTTCCATGCCAGGAGGGGGCAGCATCCAGGCAGAGACTGCCAGACCCAGCGACCTCCTCTCAGCATCTTCTCCACCACCTGCATCGGCAAAGGACCAACAGCCAGCGGTTGTAACTGGCACCACTTTGCCGAAGGTGGGCCCTGTGAGGCCCGCTGGCCAGGCCCAGAGTCACACCCCTGAGAAGACAGACCACTCACCTGCCCTGCTTAGAAACCACCAGGAGCTGGGCTCCCCCAGGGCCTCATCGCTGCGCCCCCAAGGCCTCAGCAACCCCTCCACCCTCTCTGCTCAGCCAGAGCTTCCCAAAAACGACTCCTGGGGCAATGTCCTGCCCCTTCAGGAGCTGGCGAGCAAGAGGAACACCAGGGGCCGAAGGAGCCCCACAGAGCTGGAAGGAGGAGGAGCGAGTGAGGGGGCGGCCGGGCCCCCAGCCCCTTTTAACTCCATTCCCTTGACTGATACAGGCCATGAGAGGCAGCCCTTGCGACCCTCCGATCCCCAGCTCCCTGGGTTTGCCTTCCGCCTGCTGGGGCCCATCGTCATCCTGGTCTTGCTAGCTGTCGGCGGCCTCCTGTTCTATAGGTGGAGACGGCGGGTAAGAAGATCCTAGTGAGAAAGTGGATGGCAACTCTTAGGGGCAGGGCAGAGCCTGGGTGGGGGTGCAGGTGGAAGGACTGCTCAGGTTTGGCCTGGGTTCTTCTGATGCTGAGAGATAGGGGCTGACTGAGCACAGAGGGTGAGAGGTGGAAATTGAGGCTGCTTCCAGAATCAGGAAGATGCAGGGTATAAGATCAATGGCAAGGGACTGGAGCAGAAGGGAGTGGGACAGACTATTCCTGGGCTGACGAAGGATGATAACCAGATGGGAAGGGGGACCGAGGAGGAGAGTGATGCTGTGTGCATGTGTCAGGGCAGGGGCATGCATTGGGAGCTCTGCAGAGCCCGGGCATGAGGGTGGAGAACCAGCCGGTGTGGGAGGGGGGAGGGGGAGAGGCATCATTAACAGAGAAGTCTCACACATCTCCCCAGCCCTCTGGCTGATCCTCATTTCTGTGTAGGAGAAGTAGTAAGAGTTCTGGAGGAACTCTCGCATCTCTCTCATTAATACCCCGGGCAGCCCTGCTTGGGGATGGGATCAGTGTCCCCCCATCTTTTCCCAGCTCCTCAGTGAGCCTCCTCTTTCCTGTCCCCAGAACCGTCAAGAGCCTCAGACTGTGGATTCTCTCATGGAGGGGCCAGAGGGCAGGTGAGAGCTTGGGCTGGGGCTCCAGGAGACACTAGGGGCCTGGCTTGGGATCTATTTCCCTTCTAGATTGGTGGTAGTGGGAGCGGGGAGCTTTTTCCCACTTGCTCTGAGGATATGGAGCTGCAGAACAGGATGGAGCCTCTCTTCTTTCCTAGATATCTGGGCTTTTTCCTGATTTTTTTCCTAGAGTTAGGCATTTCTGGGTCTTCTAAATCTGAGAGGGCTGGAGCATATGCGCAGGGGTTGGAGGTAAGCTTAGGGGGTTCCCTCACTCCCCTGCTTCTGCTGAAGTCTTATGCCCGCTCTGTGCTCTGCCTGCAGTCCCCTGACCCAGGATGACAGACAGGTGGAACTGCCAGTGTAGAGGGAATTCTAAGGTAAGATTCTCATTTTGTCTCCAGCCCTTAAAATGAGCTACACCCTTTTCCATCAAGTCCCCTGAGGCCCACATGCTTGACTCCTTCCCCCCTCTCCTACTACTCCCTTTTCCATCTATCACCAAGCTCAGCCAACCCTCTCCTTTTTGGGTCCTCCGGTCTCCCCCTGCCCCTCCACTTCCTCCACCACACCTGAGGCCAGGTACTAACTACTGCCTCTGCACGGGATCTCTGGTCTTGCTGCCACCTTCGATCCCAGAGCAACCAAAGTCCTCTTCCTCAAATGTGTCTTGTATAAGGTCTCTGCCCTTCTGGGGAGTTTTGAGTAGCTCTGCATTGCCAACCGCTTCAAATCCAACATTCCTAGCTTGGCTTCTAAGCCCCTCCAAGAGCTGCCCTCCGTGTGGACCTGTGGCCAGATTGCTCCTCTACTTGGCTCTCCTCCCTGCTTTTAGAATCATGTTGCCATAGAACCTTAGTCTTGGAAGGGCTCTCAGAGGTCACTGGGACCAATGTTCCAACCCAAAGGGGCCATCTGTCTCCACATCCCTGATAGGGAGTCAGCCAGCTTCCTGTCACACACTCCCCGCTCCAGGCCAGCTCCCTGCCTAGCCACAGTCCATGCCTTCTTCAAGTAACACTGGGAGAAAGGCCTTCCTCATGTGAGGCAAAACTGGCTTACTGCTCCCTCCCCAGTGGCCCTCCCTCCTATTCCCACGAAAGCCCTCAGATATTTAAAGTCAGTTATCCATGTCCCCTTTAAGAATTCTCTAAGCTAAGTGTGGCCAAGTCCCTCAAACATTCCTTATATGATGTGGTTTTCAGACCCCTCACCATCCTGGACACACTCGTTTGTCAATGTCCCTCTGAAAATGTGGCGCCCAGCCCTGGACACAGTACTCCAGATGTTGTCTGACCAGCTCAGAGTACAGTGGGACTGTTACCTTCCTTGATATGGACAGTGTTCTTCTATTTGTGCAGATTAAGATCGCATTAGTTTCTCTTAACAACCGCATCATACCGTTGTCATGTGTCGAGCTTGTGGTCTATTAAAACCCCTACTTCTGTTTCCCACAGACCTCGATTAGGCCAACAACCCTCTCTATCCTGTACTTAGACAACCTAACTTTTTAAACCAAAGTGCAGGAGTTTACATTCACCCTTGTTAAAACCACCTGGTCGGTTTCTGTCCATCACTAGAGGCTATTGAAATTATTTAAAATCCTAATTCTGTCATCTTCATAGCCCTCCCAATTGTGTCTCCTGCACATTGATGAGTGTTTTCTGTTGTCCTTGCCCACATTATTGATAAAGTTGTGACCCTTATTATTCCTCCCCTAGTTCCCCAACCCAGCCGGCCGTGCCCTCTGCCCTCCGCCCTTCCTCCCCCTAAGCCCACAATCAGCCACCAGGGAAGCCTTCCCACTTGTGTCCACGACCCTCCAGTTGCCTCTTTAGTTCACACTCCTTCTGCTCTTTTGTACTTGGTTAATACTATATTGATTTGCACTTATTTGGATGATGTTTGTTTACATTTTAAAATCTTATTTTACGTGTATATGTACATTCCACACCCCTAAAAAGATTGTAAACCCCTTGAGGGTAGGGACTGTCTTCCATTTTTTTTTTTTTTTGCGTTTCTTTTTCCATCCCAGGTTCTAGTATAGAGAAGGCCTCTCCATACTTGTCCATAATTCAGTAAATGTTGGCTGACTGGCTTCAGGGCTGACTCACTGACTGACCGCGGCCAGCTGTCTCTAACTGACCAGGCTTCTGGCTCACCAATTAATCAGCTAACTAATCAACTGTGATTAACTGGCTGATCAGACAGCTGGTTGGGTGACTCTAACTAACCAACCAACTAGCTGGTAACTGCCTAACTAGCTAATTGTTGATTGCTGAGCCGACTGGCTAACTGACTAGCTGCCTGATCGTCTGACTGATCTGCTGATTGGCTGGCTGGCAACCAGCCGGGGTGACCCATTCAAGTTTCCAGTCACACCTCTTGCCAAATTCGAGTGAGTGCCTTAGGGCCTTCCCATGTGTAGAGTGACAGGTCTGGGCCCCTTCTGGAGAGATAGGGGATCTGGCAAATGCTTAAAACCAAGGGAACCTATTTAGATAATAGCAAGCAGTGACAACACATCTGGACTCCTGGGTGCTCCTTGTCAGGGTGTGGGCTAGGATGGGTGAGTGAGTCAGCTGGGGCAATGGCAGAGCTGTGAGAATGACCCAGGCCCCCTCAGGACCAGTGAGCAGAGGAGGGAGGTCCCTGGGGACTTGATGGCTCAGTGGTGCGCCACCCTCCCACTGGCCACTAGCATCCCTCCACCATGGTCTTGGCCCTCTGGCCATTCCATCCATGCTCCCACTCCTACTCTCCTTTCCCTGCCTGCCTCTTCTTGGGCCTGTCCCAAGTTTTCATCTTCCTCCCCTCCAGTTTTCACTTGCAAAAGGAACCCAGGGCAGGGGCCACATCCAGACCCCACTTGGCTCAGCGGGTCCAAGCCTAAGGTGGTGCCCAGGCCAAGCACTGGGAGCCTCTGGGAGATTGAATGCCAGCCCCAGACTGACTGCTGCTCTGATGAGAGATGAGAGCGGGAAACACAGAGGCAGAGAGGCGAAGAGAGGGATTCAGAGCCACAGAAAATGCAGACACCGGCGCCTCAACCCCCGGGAACTAGGAGATAGGGGCAGCAGACTGGAACTTGCCCACTTGGTCCTTCTTCCCACCTGGCCCCCGGTAGGGCCTGTGGCCTGGCCGTACCCAGCATGGGTCATGTCCAGCTTATGGTTCCCCCTTCTGTCCCCTCCAGAGCATGGGAATGGGCTGGGAGCCAGAGGCTGTGGTCCCATCTTCCCTTCATACCCAGCTCAGACTTTGCCAGTCGGGCCAATGGGTGTTAGGGACGGAGGCTCCACACAGTGTCCAAAGTCAGACTGTTGGATGGAATCCAGGGGATTTCTGCTCTGGAACAAAGCGTTCTGAGGATTCTGGGCAAGGGGACAAGGAGAGGGGTGGGGAGAGCAGGGCAGGGAGGAAGCCTTGGCCCATCTGGGAGGAAGCTGGGCTACTTAGGGGCCAGCGTGCCAGATGGCAGAGTGGGAGTTTTCTTGTCAGTTTCCTCTTCAGTTATCTCTGCTACACTGTCCTGAACATCATTTGTGATGACCCTCTCTGATGAAGGGTGTGGAGGTAGAAATAAAAATTCCTCTTTGCTAGACTTAGCAGGAATCATCCTTGGTTCATTGGACCAAGGCCAGTGAGGTGGTCTTGCCTGAGGAGGGGTCTAAGGACACTCAAGTGTCTCCTTCCCTCCCTGTCAGACCCCTCTGCTTGAGCAGTGACCCTTATCCCAGCCCCGCTCAGACCTTCACCAGGCCCCATTACTTCCCTCTGTGGTTCCTGATTCCCCAGGAGGAGGTAGGAGGTGAGGCCAGTCTGGCCAAAGGCTTGGGCTGCTGCCAGGGAAAGCTGCCTCGTCCCTCTGCGGTGTCTGGGGTGGCCAGGAAGGCGAGGGAAGGGACGGAAGGAAGTCCTGCCTGCAGCACTGCTAACAGCCCACAGGAACACCACACCTCCGCCACCCATGTCCTCAGCGACCCTCCCTGCACTCCCACTCAGCTGACCTGCCTTTCCTTCTCTACCCTACAGCTGGGCACACAGGACAGTCTCTCCATAGGAGGAGACATTGTGGGGGCGCTCACCACCACTTCTCCCCAGCCATCCTCCTGGGAATATGGCCTACCCACCGCTGGAGCTCCTGCCTGCCAGGACTGGACCAGGGCAGCCAGGCTGGGGTCCCTCTGCCTCGGCCCTCAGACCCTCGACTGACTGAGAGGGCTGGAGGATGCCCCCAACGCTGCCGCTATTTATTGTGGGCCCTGGAGGCTCCCATGCGCTTGAGGAAGTTTGGCAAGCGGGGCTCAGGACTTTCTTCCCTCAGGGGCTGTGCCCTCCTCCCACTCCTCTCCAAGCCAGCACCTGGGCAAGGGACCTTCTGGCCTGTGGCATGTGGGAGAGCAGGGTGGACACTGAGGAGTGGAAGAGCCCTATGCCCAGAGGACCCGCCCAGTGCCAAGGCATCCCAACACTGACAGGCAGGGACCTGTCTCTGGAGAGAGGAGCCTGAGATTCACAGGGCGGGACAGCGTCTGCCTGATTTCCCGTAAGGGTGTGCAGCCCAAGAGATGGGAGGAGGAGGCCTCTTGGCCTGCAGGTCTGCACTGATAGCCTGAAGACGGTCTATACCCTCTACCTGCCTACGCGCCCTCTGCTGGGTGCCAGGTGGAGAGGGCAGGCCAACCTTTCCTGGCCTGGCTTATGATGCCAAGAGGAGGACCAAGCTCTGGCCTCTGCCCTCCTGCCCTCCAGCCTCTGCCGAGCTTCTCTGGGAGGCCTGGCCGAGGCTCCCCACATGAAGGAAGCCATTGCACTGTGAACACTGAACCTGCCTGCTGAACAGCCTGCCCCGTCCACCCGTGAGCGAGCGTCCATCTGTCCTCCCTCCCCTCCAGCCTCTCCCCAGCTTCCTACACTGAGCTGGCCTCACCTGTCGACTGAGGGAGCCCCTGAGCCCTGACCTTCTCCTGACCTGGCCTCTGAGTCCCAGGGCGGAGCCGGGTGGGAGAGCTGCCCTGGCCACCAGCCAGAGCCGGCTTTAGGCTGTGTTGTTCACCCAGGTTTTGCATCTTGCACTTTGACATTCCCAAGAAGGAAGTGAATAGTAGGTGGGAGGGAGTAAGGGAGGGGAGAGGCAGAGAAGCTGCAGGGTGAGCTGACTGGAAATGGGTCTTTGAAATATGGGTATGCCCCGAGGCTGGGGGAGGTGTCTGCACCCCTGACTCCCCCAGCCCACTTTCCTTGCCCTGCTGCAGCAGGCACCTGAGGCTGAGCAGGTGTCCCTGTCAGGAGCCCACCTGCATGGCATCCAGCTCCCATCCTCTTCCCACCCTTCTGTCTCCCTGGCCCCGGTAGGCAATGATAACCTCCACCTCTCAGCCCACTCCCGCACTACCACAATCTTGACCAGGCAAGCCAGGGTGGGAGAAGGAGCAGGAGATCCAGGCATCTGCTTCCAGCTCTGCTCTGAGAGCCTCCGTTTCCTGGGCCATGCCTCTTGAGACCTGGGCAATGAGTGACAGGGCTGTTAATTACCCATTGGTCCCTTTGTGCTGCTGTGTCTCTCCTCCCCTGCTGCCCTGGGCCCTCCACTGAGACCCTGCCCTACCTGGCCACTAGGTCCATGACCTTCCCTTCCTGCCCCAGAAAGTGAGGGTCTGCTGGCCCTGCCTTCCCTGTCCTGATGCCAACAGCCAGGGAAGGGCAGCGAAGAACTTTCACATGGGACTCTTCCTTCCAGTCACAGACTCCAGTTGCTAGAAAACATATTTAAAAGTGGAAGAAGACAGAAAAAAAGGGATTTGTTCCTTATCTCTCTACCTTAAACGTACAGTATTTTAAAAGTCAAAAAAGTGAACCCAACCCACTGTAGAAGCTCTTTGTGGGCACTTGATGACATCGGAACAGGAGGGATCCCAGAGCCACCTCTGGGTGTCCCCCAGCCACCTGCGTGGAAACCCCTTCTTTTCTCTGAGAAAGCTGAGAGGGAACATTGGCTCATGTATTGTGAGATCTTGTTTTTATATTTGGAAGTGGTGAATTATTTTATATAAAGTCATTTAAATATCTATTTAAAAAATAGGAAGCTGCTTATATATTTAATAATAAAAGAAGTGCACAAGCTGCCACGTGTGAGTCATGGGAAAAGTTGTTTTGGGGGTGTGGGTGGCAAAAATGGGGGTGGGCAGGCAGTGGCTGCTGGGTGAGCCCCAGCTCAGAAAGCTCTTTCCAAGATAACCTGAGGAAGGAAGGCTGTCTCCAAGTTTCAGTCTTGTTACCAAAACCTCCCGTATTATTGCTGTCCTAAACACATTCATCTGCATATCTGTTTAATAGGAAAACTGGCAGAAAGCAGCCAAACCTCAGGCCTGGCTACCTGCCCCTGCTCCAGCCGGCCTCGCCCAGCCTGGGAAAATGGCTGGCTGGGCTCTGTCCAAGGGCCCCAGGGGCCTGCGAGGACAAGGCTTCTTGACTGCTGAACCCTGCTGTCCATGGGAGAGGGAGCTGGCCAGGTCCTAGCAGGGCTCTGAGGTGACTGAGAGCTGTCTCCAGGCAGGGGGAGAGAGCCAACAGTCCGTGAGGGGTCTTAAGGCCTGATCTTCCTACTGGAAATGGAGAAGAGACAAGGATGTGTGCGAGGGGCATTAGGGTGGACCAGACCAACTGGAGGCCCAGCATAGCCCAAACGCACACCCTGGGCAAAGCCGTGACAAGAGGGGTCTCACCATCCCTGAGAGTGTGGTGGACAAAGTTTTGGATCAGTGGTTCTCAACCCTGGCTTACCAGGGAATCACCTGGGTTGCTTCAAAAAATACTGATACCCATCCACCCCCACCCCCCGCCACCGCCCTGATCAACAAAGTCAGAATCTCAGGGATGAGTGTCAGGTACCAGGCATCGGACTTCTGAAACAATATCTCAGGTGTGATCCAGGATAAGAAGCACCTAGAGCCATGGTGTTGGATACGGTGGCTATTTAAGTTTAAATTAATGAAAATGAAATAGTAACCATTCAGTCCCTCAGCCACACTAGCCACATCTCAAGGGCTCGGTATCCACATGTGGCTGCCATCTTGGACAGCACAGAAATAGAAAATTTGCATCATTGCAGAAATTCTACTGGACAGTGCTGCCCAGAAGGTGGCATCCCTGGACTTAGGGGACCAAGGTTTTAGGGCCAGGACTGGCATCGAGCAAACTTGGCCAGGAGCTAAGTGCTCAGGGGTCTCAGTGGTCCCTTTCTGTGCCCTCACGCCTGCCACTACCCTGTCTCTCATCACTTCCCTTGAGCTAGCTCTTCCCTTTCTATCACAAGCCCCTCAGAAAAGATATTTGAAGAACCTTAGTCACATTTCATCCTTCAAGGCCCAACTCACAAAAGTCTCCTCCTCTGAGAAGCCTTCCCAGCCTGACTCAGGCCCCTGCACCCCACCCCCACTTAGCTCCATGCTTCCCTGTGCTCCTTCAGACTTAGAGCGTGCTTATTCTTCTGTCCGTCCCACCAGGCCACGCACTGCGCTGCATGCTCCTTACATCCCAGTACCGAAGAGTATCTGCCACACAGCGGGGCTCAGTAAATGTTTGTCAAAAGGTTAATACTGAACATGTGAACAAAGACACGGTAATGCAAATTTTGACCAGATTTAATGGGTGGCCTTTTCTAGGGGCCTTACTGGTATTAGTCAATGGACTAAATATCAAAGAACTACATTTCAACAACCGACCGTGCAGAGGAGGTACTTTCAGCAGAGGGTTCTCCTTGGCTTTGGATGGAAACGGGGCTAGGTTAGAACCCTGCCTCATCACCAGGCTGGGGTGGATGGAATGTATATTTCAAAGCCTAGAAGCAAGGATTGGGGGGGACACCCCAAAAAACAAAAACAAGAAACCTCTGCCCCTTACCTGCCTTTCCAGAAGTCCCAGAAAGGCCAGAGAATCTCAGCAGGTTTTTTCCCCGGGCGTCATGTGCTGCAGGGGCTGCTTGCGTCTTACCTACAGAGCAATGTTCACTTTTTTTATTCAGAACAAGAGAACTTAGGTCCTCGGCTTGGATCCCTTATTGCCGAGCTGTGCAACCTTGGGTAATAAGTATTTAACTTCTCTGAGCCTCAGGTTTCTCCTCATCTGTAGAACAAGTTTAAGAGGACAAATCATATATACCTGGAGGGAGATTCAAATAAAGTGACAAGCCCAAAAGCACCTGTGGGCTCCAAAGGACTGCTCCCCCAAAAGTGTGTTTTGATGCTACCCCTGTGAGCTAATTCTAGGTGACCAGGCCAAACAGCTCCCCTCTGGGTAAGCACTGGGAGCCAGGATGCTGCCAGGGCCTGGCTATTCTCAACTGAAGGTGGCAGAGCTGGCTGCTCTCTGCAGGGATGAGGATTCAGATCTCTTGTATCTCAAGGATTTCTGGCTGGATGGAGGTGCCAAGTAGGAAACCAGAGGGGAAGAGCCCCTGGCTTGCAGTGGGTGCTGGTTAGCAGGCAGGTTCAGGAACTCTGGCTGCAAGTATATAAGCAGAAGGGCCCAGCCAAACCCCAAAGCACTATCTGGTCAGAGGCAGGAAAATGAATCAGAGGCAACCAGGAAGAAGCCTGAGGTTAACCTCATGCAGACTACAGGCCAGGGCAAGGAAGAAGTCGGTGGTGGGGCCTGGGTGGGCATCCGAGGACCCCTTGAACAAGGTGTTGAAGTCATTTGGGGGTGGGCAGTGACTAGGTATTCCTGGGGAAAAGAGGCCACATTTCCCAGTGAGCACCCCTCCCCTACCCCAGCAAAGGCCCCCCTCTGCCAGAGCAGCACTTTTGTTCCCTAGTTTCCTTCTTTTTTTTTTTTTTTTTTTTTTGCAGGGGGAAGGCTCTGCTGCCCTGGATACTGGGACTGCTGAGGGAGCAAGGTGGATCACACCAGCCTGGAAATCCCCATGGCAAAGTGGCTGAACCACAGAGGCTCGCTCTGTCTCCCCTTGCAGAGGCTATGGCTGCTATGGCCTGGTTTCTGGTCTGGGACCACAAGAAAGCCCACAGGTTGACCTTCATGACCCTGTCTAGAGTCCATACTGACTCAGCTCCAGGACTGGGCAGCTGTGAGTCAGAAAAGGTCATGGAATGGGGTGGAGGAGGAGGCTGGATTAGGAAGCTGTTGGGCAAATTCCTGAAGGAGGGCTGGGGAGGACCCTAAGTTGGGCTCCAACCACTCTGGTCCACAGGCCCCACCTTCTCTGAGGTCCTGGACACCTGCCCCCAGCCACTCTGCGGCTTAGTCTCTCCATGTGTGTGCACCTAGTGAGGTAAGTGAAGGCAGAGCATCGTTTTCATTAATTCATTCATTCCCCCATTTATTGCTATAGTCTGAGGACAAAATGTAAGTAAAGAGTCAGTGTAGGAGACAGGTATTATTCAAACATTCACACAAATAAGTATCTAGTCACAGAATATGAAAAGAGGTAGTAGAAATAGGAAAAACGTGTTATGAGAGCTTATAATAGAGACCTGACCCAGGGAGACAGTGCCTTGCAGACCAGCAGGAAGATTAAAGCAGAGGAAGCCATAGAAGGGTTACAAGCAACGAGGCCTGGTCTAGTCCTCCTCCTTATCCAAGACTTCCAACAAGATTAAATGGAAAGCTATTTACTAATTACCTGGAATGTGTGAGGCACTCTATATACTTACAATCTCATTTCATCCTACAACAGCCTTGTGAGCTAGGTGCTAATATCCTAGGTGCTAATATTACAGATGTGGAAACTAAAGCTTGGAGAAACTTAACAATTGTAACTCAGCCAAGGTCATAGCAGCTCGTAAGTGGCAAAACCTGGATTTGAAGCCAGGTCTAGCTCTTTTTAAATCCCATACTCTTGTTACAACATCATACTCTGGTAAGCATTTAACTAAAGGCTTCTTGCACAAATGGACACCTTGTGCCAGCCTGGTGGGCTTTGAGGGTCCCCAGGGCCTTAGCATCCTCCTTCTTCCCCTTAGAAGGACTGTGTAGTCTGGAACTGGGCAGGAGGTGCCTATGACAGACCCCTGCTCTCTCAGCCCTGTTGCTAATCCTAAGTCCACCAGTAAAGGAAGAGGGGCCTCTCCTGGTGGTGTGCCTACTACCTAGGGTCTCTGGAAAAGGCCTCATTTGACCACCAGCCCCTCTCTCTGGCTTCCTTTGGTTTGGATTCTTTGTGACCCACGTGTTTATTCCTGTCCACCCTTTGGGTCTTTTAAGCCCTAGGTAAATTACTGACCCAGGTGAAATATGAGCATTGATCACTCTGGCTGGCTTCAGAGTTTGGCATTATTCTTATTTTGTCTGTTCATGACTTTCTTGGATGAAGAGGGATGAAGAGACTAGAAACTTGACACCGCCCCCCCCCAAGCCAGATCTCCAGGGGAGGTTGTCCAGAACTGGGCTGAAGTTGTATAGCCAAGAGTGGATCAGGAAACCAAGTACGACATCAGCAGGCTCAACATGCTCTAGTGATTCTGAGGAGACAGGACAAGGACCTCAGGGGTAGAAGCAGAGCCCTCTCCCAGACTATGGTATTTGGGGGAGCCTCAAAGAAACATCATTATCAAGGTGCACAGTGGGTACTCAATTCATATTGGTGTTCCTGAAATGTGCTCCATGCCCACCTGCAGAAAGCCCTCTCTGACTGTCTATTCTCCCAAAGAAGAGCTTCAGGCTTGCAGGTATTTATCCCAAGTCCTGTGCTATGCTCGGATTATTTTTCTATAGTAGAAACAACAACAAACCGTTGGGGGGGCGTGTAGAAATCTTATTTCCAGAGTTGATGCATTATATTATTTTAGATGTCTAGTTTTTAACAACAATAAAATTGCAAAGCATATAAAGATACGAAAAAGTATGCCCTATTCACAGGGAAAAAAACCCAAAAAAACAAACAAAAAACTGCCCCTGAGGAAGCCCAAACATTAGACTTACTAAAGACTTTAAACCAGGTATTTTAAACATGTTCAAAGACTCAAGGAAAACATGTCTAAAGAACTAAAGGAAAGTATAAGAATGATGTCTAACCAAATGGAGAGTATTAATAAATATGATAAATTATTTTTTAAAAAGGAATCAAATA